CAGGAAAACAGGGATTATAATCCAGAATACGCATCAAAGTCCTACCACTCTCCCACGCAAGGAAATTTATTATATAATATCTATATAGGACATCTTCCCTTTCTAATTTTAATTGTTTAAAGAAACACAAAAATATAAATAAAATAACAAAAGCCAGGACTACAACAAGTACTACTACTACTACTTTGCTTTAACTATAGAAAAACATACGTATAAGTGACATTGAGAGCAATACATCGGAAAAATACACTGCTACTACTAGATGTAAAAAAAAATTACGACATGCAAATAAAGTTTTGAAGTTATCTGAATAATAAGAATATTTTTTTCACATTGAGTCATAATTTTGACTTTTCCTAATTAAAGGAACAGAAGTTTTTGAAGTTATCTGAATAATAAGAAACCTTTTTTTCACACTGAGTGATAATGTTCACTTTCCTAATTAAAGGAATCGAAGTTTTTGAAGTTATCTGAATAATAAGAAACCTTTTTTTCACACTGAGTGATAATGTTCACTTTCCTAATTAAAGGAATCAAAGTTTATGAAGTTATCTGAATAATAAGAATATTATTTTTCATATTGAGTCATAATGTTGACTTTTCTTAATTAAAGGAATCGAAGTTCTCGAAGTTAACTGAGAAATAAGAAATTTTGTTTCACACTGAATCACACATGGTTTATACTTTTCCTAATTAAAGGACTTGGAGTTTTTGAAGTAATCTGAATAATAAGAATATTTTTTTGCACACTGAGTCATAATTTTGACTTTTCCTAATTAAAGGAATCAAAGTTTATGAAGTTATCTGAATAATAAGAAAACTTTTTTCTTCATCCTTTGTTAGCGTGATTGGACAAATTCCATTAAGGGAGCATTCACAAATGATGTCACGCAATTTTTGGAGATTTTCAACTCCCCCCCCCCCCTCTCCCTGTCACGCAATTTTTGCAATTTCACATGCGAGAAAAATACATTGCGTCACGTTTAGTAAGACCCCCCCCCTATCCCCAAAAGCGTGACATCATTTGTGAACGCTCCCTAATCCTGGATGGTGCAATATATCTGAAACAAAAAGAAAAAATATTTTTATAAATTCAAAATGGCGAAACTAATAGAGACTGTTCTTGAAAAATACTCTCAATTCTCATATAGTTTGTTTGTTTTTAAGGAAAATTGGGAGTATTTATATATTATAGTTCCTGATTATGGGAATATAAATCTGAGAGTTTATTGGGGTTGCTAAGTTTTAAAGACAACTTTTTTTATGCCTCTTTTAATTAAGGTTTCTGCAGTGTATTTATATTTATATAGATTTATATGCATTAACATAAATCTTTGCAGTATAAAAATATAATGCAATGCAACAACATTAGTAAAAATTAGCAACGCAAATTATAATAATACATTTAGTAATAAAAAATTGACTTATTAATATAAAAGTAACATTATTATAAAATGAAAAATAAGTAGCAAAAAATTAACATTTTATAAATTTATAATTATAAAACACGTTTGAAATTACAGTTCGTACAGGCCTACGTGTTTTTAATAAAAAAAAATGTCAGATGAGTAATTCGAATTGAATCTATGTACATCGCGTACAGCGTATTTCATGAGAATTTAAAAGTGCAGAGGCGAAAAATTGGAATTATAAACCCTTCAAAAGTGATGTTGAAGACAGAGAAGGGAGATAAGACATAAATGGCGCGAGGGGGCCTTTCATTACTAAGTAATAACCTATAATAACATGGATTTAAAGCGCGCAGCTTGAAGTGCAGGGCATAAGCATTAGTTTTCCGCCTTCGGCAATTTTAATGGATTGCGCGTTCGTTCATCGTCTTTTTTTCTTTCTCTCTTTCTCTCTCTCAACAAAAAAAAATATATATATAATGTAAATTAATATCAAAAAACACTTTCCAAGAAAATATTAAAGTTCCTTTTTTTCGGCTCATGGAATGTGTATATTGAAAAGTAGTGAAGAAGAACGTGCGACGTTTTAGTGTTTTTACTTTTTTTCTTGGCACGAATTTTTCTCAAAATTCAGATAAAATGAAAATAATAAATAAAAAGTAAATATGAAGTTACTTATAGAAAAACTATTAAGTAAACTATAAAGTAACGTAGTAATTTTTATATACGTAAATATTTAAGTTACGTAACAAAAGTATTACGCAACTGTAAATATATAAACATAATAAAACTATTACTTAAAAAATATAAATATAAAGTTACATAACTTGATTATTACATAATTTTTAACGTAATGTAATAAAACTATTAAGTAAATTTTATAAAGTTACGTTACGTAACATTATAATGTTACCTATCGTAATTTTATAATTTTTATATAGTTTTAAAAATAACATTTTAAAAAACTTTTTTTTTAAAAGTTTTTTAAATTTAGATTTTTTAAATAATAATTTTTCCGTTAATATACTATACTATATATATATATATATATATATATATATATATATATATATATATATATATATATATATATATATATATATATATAGTATATGCGTATATAGTAAACGTTTCTTCGGATAATTTACTAATTCGACTCACCCAACGCCACTAGAGTTTCAAGGTGTAATTTAAATCCATAATAATAAAAGACCGAAAAAAAGATCCATAACCAATCGGTAAGCATTTCTTCAGTTTTCAGCCGCTCTATTATAATACAAGCGCTCGTCCGCTAAATAAATTGATAACATTTATCTCCATTGTCCGGAAAATTTGCATTTTTTAAAATAATTTTTTCTTCGTTTATAACATTATATTTGTACAATTTATGATTTACAACAACAACAAAAATAATATTTTTAATTTTTTTAATATTATTACTATATTTCGTTGTTGTCTATTATTATTATGAATTTCGGACATTTTTATTATCTTTCTTTTGGTGTTTAAGAAAAGGTAATTATTTTTCTAAATGATTTTTAAATTGAGAAAATGTTTTAACGCGTGTGAGGTGTAAAAATATATATGTAAGAGAAGAAAACAAAGGAAAAAGGAAGAGCAATTTATTATTGCAGCAAGCGTGCAGTGGCTTTAGGACTGACCTTTTTAAACCGTGAAGGGGAAATTCGGTCCGCTTGACGGGTCCGAGTTGGGCCCTATATACACCCGTGCATAATGATCTTTAAAGTGGCTCTCAACTGTACAAATGATAAGATATATTGCCAGTTTTTTCTCATTTTAAGGCAAATAGTACGTACTTTAGTATATATATTATAATAAATATTTGAGATACAAAATTTATAATTTTATAAATTATTTCAATTTTATTTGAAAAAAAAACAAAATTTTATATTAAAAAAGTTTTTAACTTTTATTTAAAAGTTTTTAATTGTTTCACAAGTCGCTAATGATTCTATTATATATTGCTAGTGCAATGTTTTGTATTTTTCATAAACAAATATTTTAAACAATTATTCAATACCATGTTTGGGTTTATAAAAATCATTTTAATATATTAATTTTAAAATTACGCAAAGGAAAATATTGACAAAAAAAAATTCTAAATTCAAAATGTCGGATCCATGATGTGAGGGACAACTTTTTTAAAAATTGATGTTATCTGCCTGAAACTTGTTACTCGTGGGTTTCCAGGGTCGATGATTACTAATTTAATGTCAGATTTGTAATCAGCGACCTCGAAAAACCACCAGTAAAAAGTTTCAGGACAATTGGAACAATTTTTAAAAAAGTCCGCCATATTGGATCCGCTATTTTGAATTTTGAAAAACTAACACCGAATTCGTAATCAGCGATCCCAAAAACCCCCGAGTAACAAGTTTCAAGCTAATTGGATCGACTTTTAAAAAAGTCGTCCGCCATTTTGAATTTTGAAAAACTAACACCGGATTCGTAATCAGCGACCCCGAAAACCCCCAAAAGTGACGAGTTTCGAGCAAATTGAATTAAATAATAAATTTTTTTCTTATTTGTTTAGAATAATTATATAACTTTCTTTGAACATTACACATTTACTGTAAATGTTTAGACGTTTGCAGTCTACTAATTAAAAGCGATAAACAACATTTTTACACTATTTACAAAATTTTATACATCAAAAACTAAAAAAAAAGTGTCAATTTGTTATAGTTTAAAACAATATAATTTAACAATTAACAAAAATTTTATAATCGGCCTCGAGAGATCTCTTCAAAATTGATTGTTGAGTAATTAAAAACATTTGAAAAATCCATTAAGATTTGTGACCTGTAGACTATTTTGAACCCCGTTTTTTTATTTTGCCCCACTGTACGGAGTTACAGTTTAAGAGGATAGGAGACTAATTAGTCAATGACTTCCTAGAGTGTTGCTCTGATTGATTTTAAATTTTAGGACAATAATATTCTTGAGATGTTTTACTATAAGAAAATAAAAAAAATAAAAATTGATTTTTTGAAAGTGCAAACCTTTACCCCCCCCTCCCCACTTAAATCTCTAATTTCGAGATTAATATTTTTAGTGTATCGTGACACTTCTAAGTACATTTTTTTGTTTCTAAAACATTTGCATTTATTTTGAGCACATTCCGTTTTACAATTATGCACATCTACTCATGTCCCTTGAAATTTTATTGAAGCGTTTTTTTCGCTGGAGAGATTTTGTCGTAACTGTCGATAGTTGATTGTAAACTTATCAATGTAAATCTCGCTTATATTACTAGTCGCTTGAAATTACTTATATTGATAAATCACAAGACACTTTTTACAAAATTAGCTAGAGTACCAAGGGGCTTGTCTTCTAAATTACCAAAATCCAAAAGATTGTTTTAATCCACGCAGAAACTCCATTCACTCGATTGCAAAATGAGAAATTGAATAGTATAACGTAATGACAGGCTCTGAGGCTGTAGCAGAAAGCTAATTGTAATCAATTTTGTCAGCAGAGGGCAGAAACATGCAGAGAACCGATAACTGGTAAATAATTCTTAGGAAACTTCCATAAGTTTCATATTCTACATAACAGATGGCGCACATTCGCCCTCAAAGGTAAAGTTAGGATTAAACGTGTTTCTGTGAGTTTCCCGAGTTTCCTATACATTTGTGTATGTTGTGTATCGAGAAAAATGTAAAGTGTAAACAAAAGTTAAAAGTTAACTATATGAAAGTAATAATTATTAAATAGTTATAAATCATTAGAAATTCAATTAGAAAACAATGACAGAACAAATATTTCCCCGTATCAAGGCGTACATGATTTCACAGTCATTTTTAGTCAATGATTCTTGGCTAAGAGAATGCATTGAATATTTTTTCAGTCAAAATCAACAGGTTAGTATTGTTTTTTTCGTAAATAAATTAAATATATCTGTATTTTACAATAAAATGTTTGGAAACTTTTGGCTAATATTTAATTCTTAAAATTAGATTCATAAATTAATCTAAATCAATTTATTTTTAAGTGATAAAATTGCTTATACTGTATTTAAAAAAATTACGTAAAATATTCCCAGGTGAATTATAATGGTGTTCAACAATTTGTGAAAGAACAATTTTTTCTCAACGATTTACGAGAAATTAACAATATTAATGGTTGTTTACCAGCGAATCTGTCTCAAAAACAGAAAATAACTTTAGACAGTAAATATACGCTTCAGGTACTTTAATTACTCTCTGAATTTGAATTAGTAAAAATGTTTACTAATTTGAATGAGTGACTGAATTTTTGCTTCTGAATTAGTAAATTTTACTAATAAAGTAGTGGAAATTACTATTATTTTAGTAAAATTTACTAATGCAAAAGCAAAAAAAGTCAGTCACTAATTCAAATTAGTAAATATTTTTACTAATTCAAATTTAGAGAGTACTTTTTTATTAATAATATAATTAATTTAATGTTTAATTATTAAACAATAATTTTATAATTAAAATATAATTTTACAATAAAGCAAAATTATTCTTCAGACAAAAAATTTCTTTTATATTTTTCTCTAATTATTGCTTTTTTATTATTTATTATTCAAATTATTAATAATTAATAATTAAGAAGTATTTTTTAGTATAAAATGCAACTTATTTCAATGTTGATAGTGTGAAAAATAACTATAAACAAATATTTAAAAAATTATTTTTGAATCATTGTTTAAGATAATAAATACACTTTTAAATATATCTATAATAAAAATCTTTTTGAATAATTGAAATTTTGTAAAATTTAATTAAAAATAATTCATTTTTCCAAGTATTTTGTTACAATTTTTAAAAATCAATTTTTGAAGAATTTTAATTGCAAATTTTGAAAATAATTGAATGATCAAAAATGTTAATGAAAAATCGTTAAACGTAAATTTAAAAATGAAAATTAGCTTCCATTTTTTTAAAATTTAGTATTTTTAATACTTTTAATTATATATATTTCCAAAAATTCAAATACATAGAAAAAATAATATTTTAAAATTATTTTTAACATTTTGGACAAAAAAAAATTATTTTCAAAATTTTTATTTAAAATTCATCAAAAAATTAATTAGTTTTTTTAAATTAAATACAAAAATTCTTTTAAGAAATTCAATTTTCGAAAAATTACATTAAAATATTTTTAAAAACTAATTCTTAGAATTGTTTTATTACAATTTTTTATGATTCAATTATCTTTGAACAATGTGAATAAAAATTTATAAAAATTTACTTTTTTACACTTATTAAAATTTCCGAGAAATCATGGTCTCTTTTTATTAATTAAAATTCTTCAAAAATTTGATTATTTTTATTTATATTTTTCTAAAATTTAATTATTTTTAAAAGATTTTACCAAATTTCAAGTATTTTGAGAATTTCTCAATTGTATATAATTAAAAAACTATTATCTTTCAAAAATTATTTTTAAATATTTAAAAAAAATTAATTGTAAGAATATCTTTATTATAATTTTTTAAAAACATTATATCTTAATAACTTAAGAAAAAAAACATGGAATGTTACAAATTATTATAAAAAATTTAATTTTTGCATTTAAATAATTGAATTTTAGAAGAATTTTCGGAAAATTATTTTAAATAATTGATTTAAAGATGAAGTCTTCATCTTCTTAGTTGAAAATTGTAAAATTAATAATAATTGAATTCATGAAGGTTTGTAATTGTAATTTTTAGAAATTATTCAAATTCAAAAATTTTACTTATTTTCCTTAAACTTTCATATTTTACTTGTGAAAAGAATTTTGTCAGGGAATATAAATGGAAATGTCAGGAAAATTGATAAACTGAAATTTGTAACCACCCTGAATATAATGAAAATTAATAAACTGCTTATTATTATTAATAATAATTTAAAAATAATTTAACAGCTGCTAAAGTTATATGACATATCAGTATCAAAATATAAACAATTGGAGAAACTGAGGAACGTCTCCAATGTTAATATCGAAGCTACAAATGAAAATAATACACAACAATGGGAACCCGTTGGAAAAAGAATGTTGCAATTATTTTTAACTGATGGTATTCAGGAAATACTTGCTATTGAATATAAGCCAATTAGAATTTTAAATGTGAGTATTGTTTTCAAAATTAATTAATTAATTTAAAAAGAAAAAAAATGTAATATGAAAAAGTCAATATTCTTAAAAATACCACCATTTTGATTTTTTAAAATCAGAATATTTTTTGTATCTTTTAAATTAATATTTATTTCTTTCAGGATTCGCTATTGCCAGGTTTGAAGGTAATGATAATGGGTCCCGTAATATGCAGAAAGGGCGTCATTTTATTGGAAGAGACAAATATTGCAATTCGCGAAGGCGAAGTCTCTGATCTTCTTGTTCCAAATGCTTTGGAAAATGTCTTGGCAAATGCATTGTAATTTATTTTCAAATTTGTTCCAATTTTTTTAAAGAATTAGTTTTTACTCGCAGTCGATTTTTCTCTAATTTTGAACGAAATTTGACGAACTATTTTTAAATTACAGAACTATCGACTATAGGAGTAAAGATTAAGTAAATACTGTTGGGTTCTATGTTGTTTTATTTATTTTATATTTTTTTATATATTTTTTTTATATTTTTCTTTATTTTTTTTTTATTTATTTTATTTTTTTTATGTTTGTTTTTTTTTTAATTTCTTTTTCAGTTAATTAACAATAAACATTTAATTTACAGAAATTTACCGTTGAACGATGATCCCTACAATGACAGTAAAAAGAAAGAAGTAGCGACAACAATTCCAATGGATTTTGCCGATGATTTTAATATTGATTTCGATGAAATTGGACGCTCTGTGGAAATGGCGGTGTCAAGAGTTGAAAATAATTCAAATAAAAATTCATCTTCATCGTCGACATTATCGAGAATTGAAAATAATTCCAATAAAAATTCATCATCATCATCATCATCATCGACATTATCGAGAATTGAAAATAATTCCAATAGAAATTCATCATCATCATCATCATCATCGACATTATCAAGAATTGAGAATAATTCAAATAAGCCATCATCACTACCGCCGCCGCCACCAGCAATTAATCAAAATCAAAATATTTGCGAATTTCCCGATGATGATGATTTAATGTTTGAGGACTTTGAAATAGACGAGGGTATTTCGTCCAACAGTGAGGTAAATACAAATAAAACATCAACGGCTCCTTCTACTTCCGAGTTTAAATCTTCGACTTCGAATTCCATAAATTTTCCGGACGATGATTTTGATTTGAATGATGTGGACTTTGATGCAGGTTTCACGTGGACAGAACCAGCACAAGTTGATAAGAAAAAATCTACAAATACGAATACGAATTCGAAAAAAGAGACAGTAAATTTTGAACAAGGCCAAAGATCTGAAGATAATATTTCGAAACAAATTGTTACAAATTGCAGTGAAAAAAAACAAATTGTTACAGGAAGCAAGAGGTCGTCTGTAAGTGTTATTTTTGTTTCTTAACTTTTATCAGGGTTGCCACAGTTCAGGGAAATCAGGTAATTCAGGAAAAGTAGAATTTGTCGGGGAAAAATCGGAGATTTTTCTTAAAAATACTGGAAATAATTAAATGTTTAGAATTTATAAGAAAATTCTGAATTTTTGATTTTTTTTGTTTGCCTCATAAACTATGAAATTTCCACGAATTCTAAAAAAAAAACCTTAAATTTTTTCTATTTCTCACAATAATCTATTTTAAATAACTTAATTTTATTGAAGAACTGCCATAAAGTTATTACTTAAAAATCATTTAATGAAATATTTTTTTGAAAAATTTTAATTTCAATTTTGTTGAAATTATTTTCAATTTTTTAAATTTTTAACGCAATTCTTTGAAAGAATTCTACTATCCTAATAGATATTAAAATTCTTTACAGAAATTCAAATATTTTCAAAATTTTTTTAAAAAATTCTCGTCAACTTTTCAATTATTTTTATAAATAGCAAAATTCTTCGCCGAAACTCAATTATATTCAGGAATTTTTATAAAATCGACGGTTTAGAGTGCAAACCTGCTAACTCCACTTTTTATCAAATTTGAGATAATTTTTGTATTTGATAGATAAAGAGGTGATACATCAGCCAAGTAAAACAGTTTGACGAAATTATGTCTCTAAATTGCTAAAAAAGTGTTTTTTGAGAGTAAAAGATATCAATTAAAATATATTTCAAAAAATTATATTAAAATCATATTATTTTCAAAAATATTTTCAAAAAATTATATTATTTTCAAAAAAATCTAAAAAAAATTGTCGTCAACATTTCAATTATCTTTATAAATGAATAGCAAAAATTCTCCGACAAAATTCAATTATTTTCAATTATTTTCAATAATTTTAATAAAATTCATTGCAAAATTCAATTATTTTCATAAATAATAGTATTCATCACAAGAATTCAATTATTAAACAAAAATATTTTTAAAGTATTCTACACGAACATTCAATAATTTACCAAAACAATAAAAATTTCACAAGAATTCAATTATTTAAAATAGAATTTAAATAAATTTTTACAAAAAAATCAAATGTTTTTATATTTGTCATTAAATTTTTCGCAGTAATTCAATTATTTTCATTTTTCAAATTGTTTTTAGGGATTTAATTATTTTCATAAATAATAAAATCATTCGGAGGAAGTCAATTATTTTCGTAAATAACAATATTCATCACAAGAATTCAATTATTTTCAAAAGTAATAAATTTCTTCTTGGAAATTCAATTTTTTTAAAAAAATTTTAATAAAATCGTTGGCAAGAATTCAATTATTTTCATAAATAATAAAATGCTTTTTAGGAATTTAATTATTTTCAAAAAAAAAAAAAAATATCAAAATACCACACATACATTGAATTATTGTCAAAAAATTTAATATAATTCTTTGTAAAGTTGAATTATTTATAAAAACTTTTCCAAATTCAATGATTTTCAATATCTACTATTTTCATAAAATTTCCAAACAGAATTCAATTATTTAAACTAGAAGTTACATAAAATTAGTCGAAAGAAATCAAATATTTTAAAATTTTTATAAAATTCTTCGCTAGAATTAAATTATTTTTATAAATATTTAAATTTTGTCACATGAATAATAAAATTCATTGCAAGAATTCAATTTATTAGCAGGATAAGAAAGAACACGAATATGCAATTATTTTCCAAAATAGTGAAAATTTTACAGGAATTCAATTATTAAAAATAGAATTTGCAAAAAATTTTGTTGAAAAATATTTATTGCAGAATTTCAATTATTTTTAATACAATTTTAATCAAACTCTTCGAAAAATGTAATTATTCTTAAAAATTTGATTAAAATTCGTCGAAAGAATTCAATTTATTTAAAAATTTGTTGTCAAAATTCTTTATATGAGAATTCAATTTTAAGAAAAATTCAATTATTCAATAAATTATTCATTTTTGCATTTAAATATTTGAATTCTCGTAGAACTTTCTAATAAAAATTGATTTAAAAATTAATTTCAATTAAAGTTTTGGATAGTAATTGAATTTTTGAGAAATTACTAATAATTTCAATTTTTAGAAATAATTGAATTTTGTAAAGATTTCAAATTAAAATCTTTGAAAATCTGAATTTTTCACACTTTTAATTAAAAATTCTATGGAACTAATTTTGTTCAAAAAATTAGTTCCATAGAATTTTTTTTAGAATTATTTCAAGTTTTTATTTTCTAATATATGTTTAATTTAAGAATATTTCCGAATAATTGAAATTTCGTGAAAAATTGAATTGTAAACAAATGGATTTAAAAATTCTCAAAGAACAACTTTTTCAAAAAATAGTAAAAATAATTAAAAAGAAGAATTTTATTTTAAAATATTATATTATTATTAATATTATTAATTATTAAAAATACCTCACAATGACGTGACATTAATTTAAAAAACAGTAAATTAGGATTAATTTAAAAAAAAATATTTTTAATGTTAGTATTTCTTCTCGTTTTTTACAATATTCAATAATTTAAAAAAAATTTTGTTTCAGGCTGAATTATCGCCTGTGAATACAGCGGCAAAAATACATTGTTTACAAAGTGTTACTCCAATGCAAAAACCAACGTCCAATCGAAAAATCACCGATTTCATAGGCGGCAATAATAATAAAAAAAAACATGACGAATGTCCGTCAAAAGTTTGTGATTTTATCAGCGAAATATTGTCAGTGAATTTAACGAATAATCCAATTCGAAAATCAGTAAAGGCCAAAGTCACTGCAATTGGAAAAATCACTAAAAAAGATGAGATGTGGATTTTAAATGGAACTATACTTGATCAAACGGGAAAATTGAATGTCGATTTTTCATCGCAGGTTTCTATTGTTTTTTTACCCCTTTTTTTGATATTTTAAAAATCTATTAAAAAAAAATTTTTTAATTAATTAATTTAATTAATTAATTAAATTTTTAACTGAAAATTGTTATTTTTCTTTTTATTCGCAGTTCATGGAAAATCTCTTGGGACTGAGTGTCAGTGAATTTAATCAAATGAAAAAGAAGAGCAAAACGGATCCTAAATTACTTGAATCAATGAAAACGGTAAATTAATTTTTCGGCATTTTTAAAAATTTTAATTCTAAATAAGAAAAAAATTTACTAAAATGAAAAAATATTTTTTTCGCAGCTTTTACTCGAAGGTCAGAAGAAATTGGGAGAATTAAATAGTCTAATCGAATTGGAATTGAAGAAAGACGCTAAACCAATAGTTTTAAGTTCCAAAGAATTAAGCGAGAATCAAATAATTGCCCACAATAAGCGATTTAAATTTCTATAAAATCAACACTGAAGGTTTATTTTTAAATCTAAAAAAAAGAATGTTTATCGAAAAAAAAACGATTCTTATATTTTTATTTATACATCATAATGTCAACTCTTCTATAATTAAGTGTTAATTATTTTATAATTTTCGAAAAATTAAAAATTTATTTTCTTTATTCATAAAAAATTAGGTAAAACATGTTTTTTTAAATGTGTAAAAAGTACGAAATAAAGTTTTTTTTTATTTTTTTGTACTCCATCGATTATTTATTGCTGTTCCTGCTTCTGTTGTTTTTTCAATTTATTAGATCGGGAATATTTCCAAGCTCCGTTTGTAGACATTTCTCAATTCCCGGCAGTGATAAGTTGTCGACATTTAAATTAAAACTAACATAAATAGGTATGGAGAATTTTTTCGCCAATCTTTTTGCAATGCTCATTGATGTTGTGTCGGCAATTGGACCAAATAATTTCGTTGCAATTGGTTGCGTTTCATAATTCGTGGGCATTGCAAGGCAAAAGTCATTCATTGTATTTTCATTTTTATCGCCGACCCATAAGTAAATGCTCTTCTCCATTTTTATCACGTGGCCCGAAATTTTTATTTCTCCAAATCCTGTGTCAAATTTGTGACATTTAAAATTGCTTGGCTCAATTTCTAATTCATCCTCGATTTTTGACATTTTTATTGTCCTATTTATCTGTTTTGAAAAAAAATTATGTTTTATTAAAAAATGTATATTTATAAATTTAAAAAAAAATTATCGAATTAATAGAAGTTTTGTGAAATTCAATTGAAAGTAATTAAATTTTCTAAAGAATTTCATTAAAAACTTTTTAACAAATCGAATTTTCAAAGTATTTTAATTTAATAATTGAATTTTATAAAGTGTCACATTTTAATCTATTCATGTTTCTTAGTGCGAAGATTAATAATTAAAATTTTTATTAGTTAATTTAAAAAAAGATACACACTTAAATTTTTTTTTAAAAATACAATTTTCGCAAAGCTTTTTTTGAAAATTCTGGGAAAATAAGATTTTTGAAATTTTTCAATTCTATTGTTTCAAGATAATTTCAATTATTTGTTTTAAAAATAAACAAATAATTGAAAATTTTTGAAATAATTGAAATTTCTTTACATTCTATTAAAAATAATTAAATTCTTTTAAAAAACTTTATTTAAATTTTTCGAAAATAATTAAGGGAAGTTAGTCAACGTAATTATAATTTTATTTTTAAAAATTACTTTGCAATATATTCAATTATTTTCATTCCAGAATTTCAATTATTTTTAATACAATTTCAATCGAATTCCTCGAAAAATGTAAATATTCTTAAATTTTTTTAAACATTCGTCGAAAGAATTTAATTATTTCCATAAATAGCAAAATTCTTTATATTTACTAAATTGTTTTGAATATTATTTTTAAAAAAATCCTTCACAAGAATTCAATTATTTTCAGAAATTTTCATAAAATTCTAAAAAACAATTCAATTATTTTTAAAAGTAATAAAATTCTTCGCAAAAATTCAATTATGTTCAAATTTTTTTTTAAATTCTCTTCAAAATTTCAATTATTTTTATAAATAATTAAATTGTTCTCCACAGTTCAATTATTTTCAAAAATTCTACGCAAACATTTAATTATTTTTATAAATATAATAACATTCTTTTGAAGGATTCAATTACTTTTATAAATAGTAAAATTCTTTTGCAGAAATTCAATTAGTAACAATATATTTTAATAAAATTGAAATTAATCAAATTTTCAATTATAATTATGAACAGACAAGATTATTTTAAAAAATTGAAAAAATTCTTGGTTTAATTCAATTATTTTCCAAATTTTTAATTAAAATTATTTTAAAAAAACATTATTTTAAAAAAAATTTAAAGAAACTCGTAAAAAAATAATTTAATTATTTATAAAAAATTTTAAAAAAAGTTTGAAAGCCATTTGTAGATTTATTTATGTTCGAAATCAAATAAATTTAAATTTTATGAGAAAAAAACCGGAAAAAATTAAGACTTATTACAATTTTACAACCAAAAAAATAACCCAAAATATGAATTTTTCAATTTGAAAAAATTAATAATTCTTTTATTAGCAAAAATTAGAAAAAATTCAAATATTCAAATATTCAATTCTAATCCTAATTCTATTTTTTAGCATTTACAGCCCAAAAAATAAACTTTTTTTTAAATGTTTCAAAATATTTAAAAATAATTTTTTTTGTGATTAAAAAAATATATTTTCTACAAAATTACGCATGGATTTCAAAATCTACCAATTTTTTTTCGAAAAAAATAAAAATTCAAAAAGATCCAAATATTTTCTGACCGATTTTATTTTATAACCATTATATGAATTCCTCTCAAAAAATTTACTGTAAAAATAAAATTTTATAGAATATTTAAATTATTTTCTTGATAATATAATTAAGAATGTCCATGTAACCACCCCCCTTAAAATTATAAAAAAATAAAAATTTTCATTATATCTATAGGTACTTGAAAATTAAAAATATCAAACTTTATAGAATAAATATTTACTTGCACTTTTTTTCTTTTGTATTTTGAGGTTATATTCGGAAATTTGGAGTACTCTTCTATATTTTCTTCTTTTTCTTTTGTTTCTTATTACTATTATATTGTTTATATATCAATATTATTGGTACTATTATTACTATTATTTCTATTATGTTTAATTGATTGATTTATTTCATTTATTTAAAATTGTTTACAATGATTCAAGTCAAGTACATTTTAAAACATAAACGAAAACATTAAGATTTATCCACAATTTTCGACTATAACGTCATGTATTCAATTTAGTGCAAAGTGCAATTCAAATTTAATTCAATTTAATTAAAATGCAATCTAAATATATACCTAGTTTGCTTCTCAAAAAAAAGGAAAAGAAAAAAATGCTAAAAATATTGTCGATTTATTTAAAAATAACAAAATATTCAAACGGTTTTGTTAAAAAAAAATATAAGTTAGTATAGAAGAATAAACGACAACCTAACCTAATTAACTTCTAAGAACTTATAATTTTTAAGATTTTTAACAAGTTTGAAAATTTTGTTATTCATAATAAATAATAAAAATTATAAATCCAAGAGCTTTAGTAAACAGTCTGAACCTTGTCAATGGTATGGTAAAAAGAAATAAAGTAAAATGATATTCGGGCGATTTGATAGACTATGGCTTACATTTGTACAATTATATGGAAATGGAAAATGGAAATGTCAAAATCGTGTCGTCCCGCGCTTTTGTTTCGCAGAACTGGGATAGGAGCGGCGGGGTGGGGGTTTAAAGGCTGATCTCCACTAAAAAGTAAAACGAACTGAAATCTGCCGAAAGTAATAATTTTTCTCGAGTTTTTTTATATGTATTGCGTCGTCGCCGTGTCTTCTCCTTGTTAGGAGGAGGAAGAAAATTAGAACCATGGCAGTTGCAGTGAATTCATTTGATTCTTGGCTAAGTGAAAAACTGCAGGCATTGAATACTGACGAGGGTGTATTTGGTTCGTACATCAAGGGGATTTTGGAGGGCGATGAAACGGAGGACGAGAAAACGGAGGCCCTCGAAGGCATTCTTGCCGGCATAACGGTGAGGACCTTTGGAATGTGAGGTTAGAAATACCTATTAAAATTCAGATCGTATATTTCGATCATTTAATTGACATTTTTAACAAATATTCATGGTCTTTTATACGAAAACCCCAAAATTGATGTCACTTTTATTAATCGTTTATTGCGTTTAGAAAAAAAACACGTCTTTTTTTCAAAAATTTCTCTACATATTGATTTTTTCCCCTTTTTGTACAAAGTATGTTTAATTTTATAGATTTATTATTGAAAATGGAAATAAAATATCAACTCTTTAATTTAGAAACTTTATACTTTAGAAACATACAAAAAAAAGTAAGTCGAAAACATTTTTCTTTGCTGAAATCAACATAACCTATAAATGGCGGGAAATTTAAACGGAAAAAGCTCTTTGAAAAAGTGGAAAAAGTGAAGTAACATTGCGGTCTAAAAAACACGAATTCAATTATTTCCATAAATAGTAAAACTCATCGAAGAATTTCAATTATTTTTAATACTATTGTAAATTAATTAGTCGAAAAATTCAATTATTTTCACAAATAAAGTTTTCCACAAGAATTCAATTATTTAAAGTAAAATTTTCATAATATTTATTATATTTCAATAAAGGATTAATTATTTAAAACAATGTTTATAAAATTTTTATGAAGAATTCAATTATTTTCAAAAATAAAATTTTTCACAAAATTTCAATTCTTTTTAAACATTTGAATAAAATTTTCTTAGGAATTCAATTATTTTTGAAAATTTTAATAAAATTTTCCGCATGAAAATAATTCAGCTATTTTCATAAATAATAAAATTCATCGCAGGATTTCAATTATTTTTAATACAATTTTACAGGAATTGCTCAAAAAAATGTAATTATTCTTAAAAATTTAATTTCAATTCCTCGAAAAAATCAATTATTTAAAAAATTGTTTTTTTTAAATTGTTTAAAAGAATTCAATTATTTACAAAAATTTTAGAATTTTTCACAAAATTTAATTATTTTAAAATATTTTAATAAAATTGTTCGAAAGAATTCAATTATTTTCAATACACTTTTAATTGCATTTTTTTGAAATAATTATTATTATAATTATTCTTTTAGATTTAAATAAAATTTCTCATAAGAATTCAATTATTTTCATAAATAATAAAACTCATCGAAGAATTTCAATTATTTTTAATACTTAAATTAATTAATCGAAAAATTCAATTATTTTCACAAATAAAATTTTCTACAAGAATTCAATTATTTAAAATAACATTTTCATAATATTTATTATATTTCGATAAAAAATTAATTATTTAAAACAATGTATATAAAATTCTTATAAAGAATTCAATTATTTTCAAAAATAACCAAATTTTTCATAGAAATTCAATTCTTTTTAACCGCAGTTTGATAAAAGTTTTCGAAATAATTCAGTTATTTTCATAAGTAATAAAATTTTCCCAGAAATTCAATTATTTTTGAAAATTTTTAATAAAATTCTTAGCAACTATTCAATTATTTTCATAAATAATACAATTTTTTTGCAGGATTTCAATTATTTTCAAATATTTTAATAAAATTGTTCGAAAGAAATCAATTATTTAAAATACAATTTTAATTCAATTTTTTGGAAATAATTCAATTATTTATTTAGCATATAATAAAATTTTTTCCAAGAATTCAAATATTTTCATAAATAACAATATTCATCACAAGAATTCAATTATTTTTAAAAGTAATAAATTTCTTCTTATGGAAATTCAATTATCTTAAAAAATTCTAATAAAATTGTTGGCAAGAATTCAATTGAGCGGATGGGAAGAAGAACTCGACGAGCGCGAGACCGTAAGGGATAATATCAGTCAGGTAGCAGTGAGCGCCACTGGGCCACACACTGCTACCTGACTGGAACTATCCTTTACGGTCTCGCGCTCGTCGAGTTCTTCTTCCCATCCGCTCAATTATTTTCATAAAATATAAAATGCTTTCTAGGAATTCAATTATTTTCTAAAAAATTTAATAAAAACACAGACATTTAATTATTCTTAAAAATTTTAATAGAATTCTTTGTAAAATTTAATTATTTTTAAAAATTTTTTGCAATTCAATGATTTTTAATATCTACTATTTTCATAAAATTTCCGAACAGAATTCAATTATTTAAAAAATTGTTTGTTAAAATCTTCGTAAGAATTCAATTCTTTTCATGAATAATAAAAATTTCTCAAGAATTCAATTATTTAAAAATTTTTATAAAATTCTTGGCAAGAATTAAATTATTTTTATAGATATTAAAATTCTTTTATAAATAATAAAATACAATTTATTAGCAGGATAAGAAAGAAATAAATATTTTTGATGAAAATTAGAAAAAAGTCAGGAAAATAAAAAATATGTAATGGAATTTTTGTCAGTTTTGTGAAGTATTTAAAACGAGTTTTTTTGGTCGTCAAGTTTAATTTTTCGGTAGCTACTTTTTTTACTACTTTTTTTAGTTTGAAAGCTACTTTTTTAAAATTAATTATCGAGTGCGAAGTGTGAGATAATATAATACTAAATAGAAGGAAATTTTAAAAGAAAACCAATAATTAATATTTTTCATTTAATAAATTCTGTATACCAATAAGCAACATAATTTTATTTTAAAAATTCTTCTTTTGATAAATGAAAAATTATTTATTCAAAGGAGGAGAACATTGGCAATCATGTGGCTGAAATTTTGAAAGCTTGGTCCCAATGGCTACCAACTGAGGATGTGAACAGTGCGAGTGGACCAAGCGAAGATGTAGACGTTCGATTGGCGCGACTCCTTGAATCACAAAGTCTTCCCACCACGACACAAAGAAGTTACACCGATGAGGAGAGGCGAATTCGCGAAGCAATTCTCGCACAATACAGTGAGATGCCCGATCAGGAAGAAAGTGATTGCGAAGACGTCGAGGAGGCAGCCGCCTGTACCGAGAGTAAAATCGAAAAGAACACAAACGCCGCCAGTATCGTTCAACTTGAGCGTGAAAAACGCGAGAGAGCAAAACTGGAGAGTCAAAAAAAGAAGGAGAAAGATAAAGAGGATCGGTAAGTATTTTTTTTTTTAATAAATTAGTTTTTAAAAAATTGAAATTAATAATTCACTTTCTTTTTTTTTTTTTTTTTGCAGAGAAAAACAAAAACAGATGAAGGAGGAAAAAAAGGAGAAGCGCAAGACACAGAAGGGCGAACGAAGGAGGTAGCATTGAAAATTTTGACGTGAAATTCATCGATTAATTACCAAAATAGAACAATATTTGTTCTTATTGTGATTACAAAATGCATTTCGATATCTTTTTTTTTTTTCAAATTTTTACAACATTTATATTTAAGTTTTGCAAGATAATTGAATGATTGTTTGCAAAAACTTTGTTTACTCTGTTTACAAATCTTATAGATATATATATTTAAAGAAAAATAGTTAAAGAATTGCAAGTGTTGTCCCTTTTAAGAAACAAAGTTTTTAAGGTGCCATAAAATTTTAAAAAACACTTTTTTAAATCTAATTTTTTCATTTTTAATAGTCATCTCTGTGAATTTTATTTAAAAAAAGAATGTGTTGTTTTTTTTAATTGTGAGCGAAATTAACATATTTTTGTGATTACCATATTTTTGCCATCTCTAAATTTAAATAAAGATTATTATTACAGAATTAAAAGGAAAAAAACAATATTGTTTAATGAAAAATCAATTATTGAAGATTTTTTTCAGGTTTTCAAACTATGGAGTTGTGGAAATATTTTTCAATGAAAATGTTTATAGATTTTCATTTTTTCTTTTAAACTGAAGTGAACTGAAGGATCAAACAGCAAAGTCGCTATGAATTTTTTTTACCAAATTTTCACTGAAAAATGAAAGAAGAAAATAGTACTGCTTACGCAGTCTCTATGCATACTGAACACGATATCTCATTTTTTTTATTTATTACAATGAAGGATCAAACAGCAAAGTCGCTATGAATTTTTTTGACCAAATCTTCGCTGAAAAGTGAAAGAAGAAAACAATGCTGCTTACGCAGTCTCTGTGCATACTGAACAAAATATCTCAATTTTTTTATCTATTACAAGCAAAATCGCTATGAATTTATTAACCAAATTTTTACTGAAAAGTAATAATAAATTATGAGAAGTGACATTTCAGTAAAGTTATAGTTAGAAGAAATACAAGTTAGAAAATATAGAAATTATAAAGAAGAATGATTAGGAGTAAAGAAAATTATAAGGAATGTTAACTTGAAAACGTTAAAATTAGTTTGAAAAACATTTCTAAGAAAAAAGTTTTATAACAAATGATATTTCGATAAAATAAATGTTACAAATCTTAGAATTTAGAAAATTTACACATTATAAGAAAATATGATTCGGAACAATAAATTTTATAAAAATGGGTAATTCGGTAATATTAAAATTATATTGAATAATAATTCGGAAACATAATTATTATAACTATTAACAAATCTATAAAATATTGTTTATCAAAATTGACAATTCGAAAATGAAAATATTAATGTAAATAATAAATAGAAAAAAATAATAATTTTTAGAAATGATAATTCGGTGATTTCAAGATTATAAAAAATATTCTTTCGCAGTAATAAACAATCTGTCTATCGGTCATTCAAAATCAAAATGTTTCTGACAATTATTTTTTCGATTAAAAGAAATTATAATTGATTCTTATTAGTTAAAAAGAATTTCGATAAAATAAAGATTCGGAAAATAAAAATTGGAGACTTTTCATGCGCCTCTGAAGATTATAAAAAATACACTTTCGCAGTAATAAACATTCTGTCAATCGGTTATTTGAAAACATAATGTTTCTTTAAATTATTATTTTGATTAAAAGAAATTATAATCAATAAATTCTTATTAGATCAAAAGAATTTAGGTAAAATAAAGATTCGTAAAATTATAGATAAAATTAAATCTAAATATTTGAAAAATTTTATATAAAAATTATATTTTCTTTTTGTTTTTATTTTTGGGATACATGAATGTTTTTTTAAATTTCTATTTTGTTAGGGTTGCCACAAATCAGGAAAGTCAGGAAAAAGTCAGGAATTTTTATTAAAGTACTGGAAAAAATTGAATTTTCGAGAAGATACAAATGATTACAGAAATTCAATTTTTTAATCAAAAGTAATAAAATTCTTCGCAAAAATTCAATTATGTTCAAAAATTAAAAAAATTCTCGTCAAAATTCAATTACCTTTAAAAATAATAAAATTCTTCACCGAATTTCAATTATTTTCAAAAATTTTATTAAAATTTTTTGCACAATTTTAATTATTTGAAACAAATTTTCCTCAATTCAATGATTTTCAATATCTAATATTTTAATAAAAATTTTCAAAAGAATTCTATTATTTAAAAAAAAATTTTTGTTAAAATTCTAAGCAAACATTAAATTATTTTCATAAATAATAAAAATTTTACAGGATTTCAACTATTTACAAATTAATTTTTTTATAAATTTCTTCGCAATAATTCAATTATTTTCATGAATAATAACATTTTTTTACAAAAATTCAATTATTTCCATGAATAATAATACTCATCATAGAATTTTAATTATTTTTAATACAATTTTAATAAAATCGAATTCCTTGAAAAATTTAATCATTCTTGAAAATTTGATTAAAATTCCTCGAAAAATTTCAATTATGTTGATAAAATTCTTTATGATAATTCAATTTAGAGAAACATTGATTTATTCAGTAAATTATTTATTTTTGTATTTAAATAATTGAATTATCGTAGAATTTAGCAATAAAAATTGATTTAAAAACGAATATTAATAAATGTATTAAAAGCATTATAGCATGAATTTTCAAAAATAATTGAATTCCTGCAATAAATTTAATTACATTTTAATTAAATATTTGAATTCTTTTGAGAACTTAATTATTAAAATAGTAGCTTTTCAAAATATTTGAATTTCAACGAAGAATTTCATTATATTCAAATTTAAGAAAATAATTCCACTTTTTTTGGATTTTATTTTTAATTGTATTAAAAATAATTGAAATCCTCAGAAAAATGTTATAATTCATGAAAATAATGGAATTCCTATAACGAATTTTATTAAATTTTTTTAAGTAATTGAATTCATGTGAAAAATTCTATTACTTGTAAAAATAATTGAATTCCTGCAACGAATTTTATTATATTTTATTTAATTAACTAAATTCTTTCGAGAACTTTTATAATAGTAAATTTTGAAAATTTTTGAATTTCAGCGAGAAATTTCATTTTTTGTGAAATGTAATTTTTTATGAAAATTTTTTTAATTCTTACAACGAATTTTATTATAATTTTTCTAAATAATTTATTTTTTTTTGAAAAATTTAATGAAAATCTAAATTTTTATAAAACATGAAGATATGAATTACTCCGTGTCGAAGTCTCGGAGTGATTCATATCTTCATGTTTTATAATAATATTCTTATAAGTTGTTGAATTTAGCTTTTATGGAATATATTTAGAATTTATTAAGGTCATCAAATTAATTAAGAAAATAAATACAGAAAAATAAAAATTCATTTAGTATGAACATTTAGTTCAAAATTTATATTATTTTCAAATAATTTTTTAAATGAAAGATTTATTATATGAATAGTTTGAAAGAATTCTCTAAGAAGAGATAATTTTTATGAATGGTTTCGAAACAATGGAAATCCAAACTCACGTCAATTGACGCAAAGAATATTTATTTTTTTTTCATAAAGGATGTTGGTAATGAAAAAAAATTAACAATTTCACATTCGTATTATGTATAATCTTTATTAGTTTTTTTTATGTACATACAAGATAATCATCATGGGAGTGACAGTCATCTTGGTACTGTATAGTTATTACATTAAGAATGAAAGACAAACGCATTAAGATAAAAACAAACGAACAAATGATACAAAAGGTGATGATGCTTCGGTTGGGCTTATTTCTTTTCGCAATATAATGTCGATTACCTTTACACTAATGTTTATTTTTATTTATTTTTTTTCTTTTTTTCGTATTACCTTATTGTTTATTGTTATCAATTCTTCATTTGCATATAGTAATACACTAAAAAGTCAGGCAGAAATTAATGACGACCTCGTTTTGACGTCATTATAACATTTTAGGTTCGTAGGTGGGGGGGAGGGGAGAGAAAAGGTATTTAAACATTATTTTATATATACGAATCACAAAAAAAAATTCACTCATTCTCACGAGTCTCATTTTTAATATTATATTCTTTCTCACTATAGATCGTGCATCGAATACTCGGTTCGTTTTTTTTCCTCTATTTTGTCACATGCAAATTTCATACATTTTTTTTGCAAATAAAATTGCGTACAAATTAATCTCTCGATGAAGATTGTTTTTTTCAAATTAATCAATAAGTGTATATGAATATATAATATGTATAATAAATGTAAAACGAAAATCTCAATGTACGTATAGACGAAACAATTTTTCGATTATTATAAACGAGGATTTTTGATTAGAAAAACAAAAAAAAAAAAAATAGAAAACAAATGGATCTTAAAATTAAAATTAACAGACGATGATCTTCATTTAAGAACTGAAGATCTTGAAGACTTAAAAAAGACTTGATTGTCCTACTAGGCTAGTTGGCTAAATTGTAAAATCTGGAGCTGGACCGTTTATAATTATTTTTTTTTCTTAAAAAGAAAATTTTTATTGCAAATAAAGTTTTTATATGGTCAGCTCTTTGTCATGTTTGGAGCAAATCTTTTTCTTTTCTCTCTTTCTCTCTCGCTCTCTCTAGAAAGTGATTTAGACTACTCACACACACTGTCTAGATATTTTTATTTTTCATCTTCTATCCTGAGATTAGGAGCAGTAAATAATTCGACTAATAATTGTAAAATAAACGAGATGTATTAACAGCGAAATCACGAAAATCGTTCTGTTTCTTTTTATTCTCAGGATGAGGGAGGAAAATAATTTTTTTTAAAAATTCGAAAACGATTAAGCCGCCGTAAAATACATCCGCAAGTAACGACTAGTCCACTGTCTTTTCTTCCCTTTCGATGAAGAAATCACGGTTTCGAAAATTAAACCAAAAACAATCGAAATTTTTGATTCTTTTATTTTGAAATTGTTCCGAAATTATTATTATAATATTATTATTAGTGTTGTTATTATTATTATTTTAATTAATATTATAATTATTATAATTATTATTATTATTGAGATTTGAACAATTCGTGATGACGAATTTTTGCTCCAGTTTGTTTTTTTATTCTTTGTTCCCACTGTGTCGTTTACAATTTAAACACAAAAAAAGGGTTGAATCGATATTTTTTTCCTTTTTTTTAAATACGCCAAATCGCTAGCCTATAGTAATAATTAATCTTGTCCTTTTATAATTTTTTTTTTTTTTGCTAAAATTTACGAGCACAAAGTAAAATTATCGAAATTCATCAATGAAAAATTGCACAGTTGGTAAGTTCACTTGTAAATTCAATATACCATCAAGGGGTTCGATTCTTCCCGTGAATGCTTTTTTTCAAAAATTATCAGTTTCCTAATAATTAAAAATTTTAAAATACCCTCTACATTTAAAAAAAACGGTTTGTAATTATTCAATTAATTAAAAGTTAAAATTGTCAACGAAATTCAAATTTAATTTGAAAATATTAAAAATCTCATATAATGAGAATATGGAAAAAAAATCCCCAAGGAGAATCGAACCCCTATTGCGTTGAGTTGTACAATCCGGGACCTTGCCACCTGTGCTATTTCACTTCCCGAAATCGATAAAGTTATACGCTCATAAAAAAGTTCCTCTTTTTTTATCAACTGTATTTTTTCCATATTTAAAAAAAGATTTTCACCAGAGGAACACACATTAAAAATAGAAATTGCTATAAAAATTTACAGACGGGAAACAGAGCAGTTTTTTTTTAAAATAAAATTAACAAAGTTCAATAATATATTCATCTATGTAATATTTTTACAAGCTAAAAAAATGACACGAGACAGAAAAAAAGGGATAAAAATCTCGATGTCTAATTAAAAAAAAACAAAACTCTGTACAATCGATAGATGCCGTGTGGTTTATCGGCTATTTGATCAACGGTATCAATTAAAAAAAGGCAGTATAGCCTTATTTTAAGCATATACATATATTTATGTATACATATATATATATATATATATATATATATATATAAGAAATATATATATGTATATGCATATATAAGAAAATAATTAATAGTAATAATTAACGAAATTATCATTAGTAATCCTAATTTATCAGAGATCTAAGTAAGACAGTGGTAGTTTAATATCACAATAAGACTACTCAGCCCTCGATTAAGAGGGAGGGGAGGCAGAGGCTTGCCCGCGTATCAGAGAATTCTTCTTTCCGTTTCCGTTTGATATTCAAGTGAAAATTCACAAGAACATCGAACAAAAAAAAAATTAAACGCGCACTCAGTCAAAGGGCAGCTTGTAGCTTTTTTTTACTTTTTACCAAAAAAATTAACGATTAACATTTTTAAACACGTATACACGATGACAGGGAAAGCATTTTTCGTTTGAATTTTTTTGACGATATTCACAGTATTTTTAAACACCCTCTCTTCTCATTGATTGGAATTTTATGAATTCACTGAAGAAAGATGGCGTTTCTTTTTTCTTTTGATTTTTGAAGTGAAAATCGTCGAGTGGCGCTCTGATAATAAACATTTACATATATACGAATTACGGAACAAGATCAGATCATACCGTTTTTTTTTTGTCTATTATAAATATCATGCGATCGTCTAAAATTTTTCCAGTCGCGATATCAGTCTAGCGTCTCCTTTAGGTCGATTTTGGCCTAACAGCATGAGAATAATAAAATTCATCTAGCTAACCACTTTGGGGCTTTAAAATGATTGACGATGAAACTCGCTTTCAAAAAACGAAAATTTGAATTTATTGTCATTTTTTGTATATGACAATTTCTATCTAAGTAGGGATTAGATGAGGATGCACCTTTCAAAATTGAAAAAGAAAATTAAATTAAAAGCGAGTTTAGATCGGGATTTATATTTTTTTTTAAAAGTGGCTAGCGCAGACCCGACTTCATAAGATCGGTGGTAAAAAAGTGCCGGAGTCGTCTAGATTGGGATCGAGGCTGGCGACAATATCACCAGTTGATGCGTGTCTAGAGGTTGCTGGTTGTGTGCCAACGGCGAGAGCATGACTGCTGGCGCTACCATTAAGTTTACTTTTAACCACTAAACCACCGCCAGAATCCGCATTGTCGAGGGTTGTGATTTTCGAGACACATTTCCTGCCACGATAAAGCCTATAAAGTGAATAAAGTTGTTGTGGATCTTCCATTGTTGTTGCACGTTGTCGTGGTACATTTTGCACTGTCACCGATTGCGCATGACTTTGCTGCGATGCATCGACAACAGCGCTCACGGCTGTACTGCCAACTGACGACGTCATTGTCGAGCTCGATGAACTCAAATGTGATGATGATGAATTCAACCATTCGTGTCTCATCGCCTCGTCCGGTGTCATTCGTTTCTTCGCGTCCCATCTGAGAAAATTAATTTTTTTGATTACTTATTGATTACTTTTGATTTCTTCAGAAAAAATTAATTTTGAGATTACATTCCATAAAATGGTAAGTTTTATAATATTAATGATCTGGTTTCTGTTTCAGGTGCAATAGAAGGTTAACTGGGATTTTTTTAATCGCAGGAACAACAAACGGAGAAAAATAATTATCCTTATTCAGATAACTTCAAAAACTTCAAATCCTTTAATTAGAAAAGTCAAAAAGAAGACAAAACAGAAAATAAAAAATTAAGGTAATTTTCTATAAAAATGGTAAGTTTTGTAATAATATTAATAGTCTGTTTTCTTTTTCAGATTCAGTGGGAGAATAAGTGAACATTATTAAATTTCAATATGGAAGAGCTGCAAAAAAATTTCCTTATTATTCAGATAACTTCAAAATCTTCGATTCCTTTAATTAGGAAAAGTGTGACCCAGTGTGAAGAAAAAAATTTCCTTATTATTCAGATAACTTCAAAATCTTCGATTCCTTTAATTAGGAAAAGTGTGACCCAATGTGAGGGAAAAAATTCCTTATTATTCAGATAACTTCAAAATCTTCGATTCCTTTAATTAGGAAAAGTGTGACCCAGTGTGAAGAAAAAAATTTCCTTATCATTCAGATAACTTCAAAATCTTCGATTCCTTTAATTAGGAAAAGTGTGACCCAGTGTAAAGAAAAAAATTTCCTTATTATTCAGATAACTTCAAAATCTTCGATTCCTTTAATTAGGAAAAGTGTGACCCAGTGTGAAGAAAAAAATTCCTTATTATTCGGATAACTTCAAATACTTCAATTCCTTTAAATAGGAAAAGCAAGAAAGTTTAATACAGCTGTTTAAAAATTAATTATCCTTATTATTCAGATAACTTCAGAAACTCTAATCCCTTTAACTAGGGAAACATAAAAATATAACAAAGTTTCTTAAGAATTAATTATTCTTAATATTGCATAAAGCATGTGGTAGTTCTACAAGTAATTTTGGCATGTTTAGTGAGTCTATACACAGAATAGAAAGTTTAGTATTCGAAATACCGTAGTGGCAGTATCATGTACTGCATAAGAATTAATAAGATTCGTAGAAATTAGGGAAAATATTCATAAACTCACTCGAGGCATCTGCTGACAAAGTCAACGAACAATGTGTCGTGACAACGAAGAGCAATCGCCACACTCTTGCCGCCGGGTCTTCGTTTTCTTCCTCTACTGTTTGTCAAACAACGAGGACTTCCTTTCGAATCTATTAAATAAAAAAATTGAATTAGACTAAAATTTCCAAATTTGAAATGAAATATCATGAATTCGTAAATTCTGTAAACTGTAATAATTTACCGAAGAAGAGTCTACGACGTGATGCGTGATTAATTAGTTGCTCTGGCGGTCTTCCCAAAACTTCCATGATGCATGCGAGTTGTTCAACTTCATTTTCTCCGGGAAATAGTGGATATCCCGTGTAAAGTTCAGCTAAAATACAACCCAAACTCCACATATCAATTGGTGTTCCATAAGGAAGACCTAGAATCACTTCTGGACTTCTGTAGAACCTCGATTGAATGTAAGTGTAAACTCGTTGATGACTATAGCAGGACGATCCAAAATCAATAACTTTGATTGAACTACTGCCACGTTGTTTCAAAAGAACGTTTTCCTATTTGAAATTAATTATAATTTTGAAATTAGTTTAAAACTCCAAGTCAACAATTAAATTGATGTCGCACTAAAATTACTTACCGGTTTTAAATCGCAATGAATGATATTTTCCCGATGCAACAGCCTGAGACAATTGATCAATGAATTAGCGAATCTACGTATCAAACTCAAACTGAATCCTTGGTAATTGTTCTTCTTAATTAACTCGTACAAGTTTAAACTATAATTAAAGAGAAAATGTCAGTTTGGATAAAAATCATCATGATTTTTATTATCTTCTTCTAAATTCTAAATTTTTCCTTACCTCATTAATTCAAAACTAATGCAGAGATGATTACGGAAGTAAAAATATTCTAACATATGAATCACGTTGTGTTGCGAATTTGATTCTGCGTCCTTCTTCCTCAAATGATCCAAAATTCTCACTTCAATTAAAGCCTGATGATGGAATCTCTTTTTGTTTCTAATAATCTTAATGGCAATATGCTGTCCAGTTTTGTGATCTAAGGCGCGAATCACTTGGCCAAAACTGCCTTTTCCAATCACTTCTAGAATCTCGTACCTGTGGAAGTGTCAAATATGTATCAGAATTGTAAAATTTAAGTGAGTTTAAAAAATCAAACATTTCTTAATTTTTCCTAATAATTTCAAATGATTAGATTTTTTTCATGTACCTGTACGAGATGTGGTCATGGAGAACTTTATTGTAACTGCCATTGTCATCATCGTAGCCACCATTTTGCGATGCACCCTCCTCACCATGAATTTTACATGCTGATAGGCCTAAGTACCAGATCTCCGAGTACTTTTCGATTTCGGCTCGCTCAAATTCCGTGAGCTTTGAGCCGAAGTATTTCGTGGCCTCCGCGGGTGTCATTGGCAATCTTCCACCTTGAATGACGAAAATTCATTAGAGTTCGAGAATCTTTGCTAATAGAAAACATATTAACATATTATTATTGCTTATGATCGCTATAGTCAGAAATCGTCAGATTTTGTGCTCGATCTTTCCCATCTTAAATATACTTTAGTTACTTTTTTGTACTGATTTTTAAACTGAACACCCCTTACCACAATTTACTATGTTAATATTAGTAACGAGACTAGTAAATTTATAAAGTTTTTAAAATAATTTTGAAATTTCTTTCTTTTTTGATAAGAAAATAATAGTAATTTTTCGCTTCAAAAGAAATAGTACAGTAAAAAATATATAGATATACTGAAAACACTTACAATAACCGTCGACGTTAGAGCTAGAATTGAGTGAATCGTGAAGTGGAAGATTGTGAATGGTATTGGCATTAGAGTTGTTGGCATTATTGTTGTCCGTTCGATCCAATCGTGTCGTTTTAACGTTCCAAAACTCTCTCTCACTGGGAGACGGCAACTTCTGAAAAATAAGAAAAGAAAACAATAATTAACTTTGTGTTAAAAGGCAGAAGCAAAATAATTATTTTTACTATTTAGATAACTTCAAAAACTTCCAATTCCTTTAATTAGGAAAACATCAAAATTATGTCACATCGTAGGAAACATTAATTATTCTTATTATTCAGATAACTTCAAAAGCTTCCAATTGTTTTAAATTGGAAAGACCAAAAATATGACAAAGGCCGAAGAAAAATAATTATTCTTAATATTCAGATAACTTTATGTACTTCAGTTTCATCGATAAGGTAAGAATCTTAAGTGAATCACAATTTGACTGAAATTATAAATTTTACTTTTTTTCAGGTACAGTAAAAGAATTACAGGATGATCAGTCATGATGACACAGGATGAAGGAAAAAAATTCTTATTATTCAGATAGCTTTCAAAACTTCAATCTCTTCAGTAAGGTAAGAATCCTAAGTTAATCCCAATCGGACTAAAATTATCAATTTAACTTTTTTTCAGGTGCAGTAAACGAATCCTAGGAAATTATTCACTCATAATGACACAGGATGAAGAAAAAAAAATTTCTTATTATTCAGATAACTTCAAAAACTTCTATTCCTTTAATTAGGAAAAACGAACAATATGACTCAGGCTGAAGAAAAATAATTATCCTTATTATTCAGATAACTTCAAAAACTTCGTATCCTTTAATTAGGAAGAGTCAACCATATGATTCAGTGTGAAAAAAATTTTCTTATTATTCAGACAACTTCAAAAATTTCGATTCCTTTAATTAGGAAAAGTCAACAATACGACTTAGTGTGAAAAAAAATTATTATTCATATAACTTAAAAAGCTTCCAATTTTTTTAAATTGGGAAGACCAAAAATACGACAAAGGCTGAAGATAAATAATTATTCTCATTATTTAGATAACTTCAAAAAGTTCAATTCCTTTAATTATTTAGAGAAATTTGCATCAAGCATATTAGTAGTTGATAAAAATTGATAAAAATATTCTCAAAAATAGAAAATTTTAAATGACAAAAAATTTTTATTTTCCAAAATGGAAATAGAAAATAATTGTATGTCAACGACCGGGGAGAAAAATTTAACGTGCGCGACGAAACGTAATCAGAAGGGGATATCATTGAAGGTCTTAATTCAAACTGAAACCACCATGACAAAAACATATAATCAGGTGGTATTTCCCTCTGTTTCAGAAAGCAATAAATGATTCGTTGACACGCGATTACTTAAATAGACGCATTCGTATTAGGTTTTAAAATTTTTTTCCGTTGCTTATTCAAAACAATAAAATATTATGTGTGACAAAAAAATAATATTATGTGTCTAAATGTATATATGTATGTAAACGACCTTAAAATGTCATTTTAACGGTCATTCATATAAAATAATTTAGGAAACTTTTGTTTAAACAGTATTATTTCTTTACCCACTTGTCCTTGTAATTCGAAATGTTAGAGAAATAAATAGAAGACAGAATAAAAGTTACACATGAATCAAAAATATATCGTAACATTATCTCGTCGTATTGAAATTGAACGGTGCTTATTGAAAATTATTAGTACATTAGAAAGGGTTATATATTACGTTATATCGTTATTCAACGTGTCACTCATGTGCGATCCATGTAGGGACACTGAAAAACAATTGTGAAACGAAATTTTCCTGACTCTCACAATATTATTAAGATTAAGAATTCTTTTATAAAAGAATTTTTTCTTAAACATTAAAATTTCTAGAATAATTTTATTCTTTTTTTTACATAAAATAGAAATTAATAATATACATTATTCATTAATTCGGAAATAATTGTTTCTAAAACTTTGCAAAAATAATTTTTTTCATCTATTGTCACTAAAATATTATTCAAAAGAGAAAAAAAAATTCTACAAAGAATTTTGTTGAGTCAGAGAACGTAAAATGCGGAGATTAGAATTTAGATATTTTACTTTTGTTGAGATTAAAATCTCCCGCTAATAATTATAATTGGTATGAATAGGTATAAGAAATCGCGGGTATAATTTTCAAAGGCAGAAAGCGTTGAAGCTTATTTATAATAAATGTCTAGTATTGTATATTGTTTTTTTAAATAATAATAAACTGTCGAAAATAACAATTTTTTCGCACATTGTGCCAGAAATAGAAAAAAAAAACCGTTAGGAAGTTTAATATCTGTCACAATATGCAAAGGAAAAATGTTATGAAATCTACGAAATACAAAATTTTTAATATAGTGATTAAAAGTCATGTATTTTATACATAATGAATAAAATAAAACAAATAAAAACAATCCAATAATTTAATAGAGAGACGAAAATAAATTTCAAAAGTAGGTCGCAAGTAGGTCAGGTAATTAGGATTAGAGAGAATGTCGTTACGAAAATTAGGTCAAAATTCACCTGCATGTCAAGGGGAGAAATTTCAAAAATATGTATATACTCCAAACATTAAGTCAAAAAGTATTAACATAATCTGAAAATTTATTTTCGACTTAAAGTAAGTTTAAAATTTAGGTCGAACTTAATAGGTCCCAAGAAAGTAATAAGGCTTTAAACTTTATAGGTAAAGAGGCGAATAATACAAGAAAATATAAATTTAGATCCTAATGTTTAGGAAAATTAAAGTTTGTTAGGATTTATAATTTTTGATATTTGAAGGGGAAAACACAACGTTAAAGATTAGGTCAAATTATTTACAAATATAATTAATTATTATGTTTATTATATTAATGAGCATCCCTCATAGTAGTAACTATACAGTGAACCCTTATAATAATAAAATTCGAATAAATAATCATGAGGCATAACGAGAGGGACAGCGGACTGTTATAAATTGCAATTGTACGATTCTTGGGTCATGCTCTTTCAAGTGGTAAGAAATATAGCACGTGATTCAGGCACATTGCAAGCTTATATGACATAGCATATGGACATAAATTATATACAACTTTTTGTCATTCATGACCTCCATAATGAGGTCAGATTATGGTCTCTATTACAAGATGATGAAAAGAAAATTCGTTGATGCGAACCAAAAAATTTCAATATATACAAATAACTTTATTTAATTTTATTACTATTCCGAATGAAGTAATTCATTCGGATTTATGCGTTCATTTATGATACAAATGGTACTTTTACATATAAGTTTTCAAGTTAGTGTTAAAAAATAGATTTTATATTGTTATAATTGCTTTTTTCGAAGAATTCGGCACTTGGATTTTTAAAATTCAAAATGGCCGTTCCAATATGGCGGACAATTTTAAAATTCTGCAGAATTGGTTGTTAATAGTTACTTGGGACTTCAGCGTCGGATTTTTAGTCTTAAACTTGACTTAATCTAGTTTCAAGCTTAAAAATTATTATTAATAAAGTTATTTTAAATAACTTTGCTTTTAGGGTTTTAAAAGGTTTTAACAGCTTTTAAGACTTTGTTTTTTCTGCAAATATGGTTAGGGGGAAATTTTTTCGAAAATTAATCTAAAATAAATTTTCGTACCAAATGAAGTGCGGCTTGAAAGGAAACTTTAAATTAAAAGGAACTTGAAATTAAACGAAAACAAATGTAAAGTATACAAAGTCGGTGTGAAAATTTCCGTTTCATAACTAATCATTCGACTTGGATAATTTGAATGAGAATACACCCTTTTACGCATTCTTATGTTTCGCAAACAATGGCATTAGTGACGACAGTGTTTCGACGATCCTTTCTTATATATATGTTACAGAGCCAATGATTACGTGCGCAATGGTACTTATTAGGTTAGAATATATGTATATGCAAGGACGCGAAGGAGAACGTATGGACACTAAAGAATTATTTACATAGTAGGAAAATTTATGCGTTTTTCTCTCTCTGTCTCTCTTTCATTCCTTTCTTTCTCTCTATCTCTCTATTTATTTCTTCTTTTCTGTCTTTCTCTTTATTTCTTTTTCTCCTTTTCTCTCTCTACAGCTGAAGACAAGAATTAATTTTCTCCGTGTCACGAATTCACGATCATTACATTTAAATTTTTCCTCCAAGAATGATGATCATTGGTTTGCGGAAAAATTAGAATTACAAAAATTTAGAAATTAAAATTATTGATAGTTTTCAGAACGTTAGGAGAATTTTAATTTGTTTCATGTGTTTGGTATTTTCAAGTTCATAATATCTAACAGAATTTTGTACAAGACCTTTTTTTCAAGGAGATTAGAGAAAAAATATAGTAAAGTGCTGTCTCAGAGGAACTTTTTTAGGACAGTACTTTAATAATATTATTCATGTGCTATCCCAGGGAGGTACTTTAGGACAACAATGCAGTAGTATTACTAAAGTGCTGTCCCAGAGGAAATCCTTTCGGACAGCAATAGTTTTGCTATTAAAAACTAGTTAAAACACTAAATTTCGAATATGTTTAAAAAAAAAAAAATTTTTAATTTTTTTTATCGGCTATAGTGGTGATGAAGAAAATGGAATTTTCCTTCTCGTGCTTGAATTTTTTAACATGAAGAAAAATGACATTATAGTTCTTTAGGAAGAAATCGACCTCGAGAAGGAATTAGCTCTTAAAAGCTGTTAAGAAAGTTTTTTATTATAAATTATCTTATCCGACCTTATACACAAAAGCGTGATCCACTCCTTACTTGGAATAGTAGGATAATAGCAGAAGGCGAGGCCACCAGGGACACCTTAAACCCGATATCGTAATGGTGACTTGACGTTGAAACAAAGTGTGCACTCGTGTGAGACACATGAGTTTGGTAGACAAGAGTTTTTCATTTTTTTTTTTTTTTTTTTTTTTTTTTTTGAAGAAACTTTCACTTGCATCCGATACCCTTTTAAACTGAAATACCATTTTCAATATATATCGATGTTTCGTGTCTTAAAGAAATATTTTTACATAGGTACGAGAAAATGAAAATGTCATTTTTGATTCATGTTTTTACAGTGCGGGAATTTTTTTTTCACAATTTTTGAATATAATGGATTATTTTCAAAAAGGGGG